ATAACCGACCCCACAGAATACAGGGTAGCAGTAAATTTCAGAAAGCAAAATGAATGCCTTGGACTCTTACACTTTGAGCTACCCAAAATTCAAGACATTTTAAGTGGATATGCAAACAAAAAATGGTTCACCAGTATTGATTTGACCAAATTTTTCAATCAAATTCCACTACATCCCGAAACCTCTGAGTGTCTCTCATTTTCAACTCATTCCGGCCATTACTCATTCAGATGCCTACCTAATGGGGTTCACGCAGGAAGCTCCATAGCTCAGTCTCTAATCCATTCAACTTTCAGTGACATTTCAGACGTTTCATGTTATGTGGATGATATTAATCTAAGCTCCAGTACTTGGGAGAAGCACCTCAAAACACTAGAAAAAGTGTTCCAACGTTGCCGCGAGAAAAACCTCAAAATAAATCCCCGAAAAACCACATTTTGCCACAATGAAGCCATAATATTTGGCTTTCGCATAACACCAGAAGGAATGGAAATTGACCCTGAAAAAATTGCAGCCATCAAAGCTTATCAACGTCCTAAAACAAAGAAACAAACAAGACAATGGCTTGGCTTTGCTAATTACTTTCGAAACTTTGCGAAAAACTTATCAACCGTAATGGCACCACTTTACGAAGTAGCAAAACCCTCGGCCAAGTTCACATGGGGCGAAGCCCAAGAAAAGGCTTTTACTGAATCCAAGAAGATGCTCTGCGAAGCGCCCATTTTGGCACATTATGACGAGAAACTTGACCTAATCCTTGACGTTGACGCCTCGAATAATGGAATAGGAGGTATCCTATGCGTCAAAACGCCGGAAGGACTCATCAAACCTATTGCCTACGGCAGTAAAAAGCTGACAGAACAACAGAGTCACAGGATGTCAGTAAGTGAAAAAGAAATGTTTGCTGTCAGTTATTTCATAAAAAAGTATCGTTCCTTTCTTTTTGCTAAACATGTCACCATTCGCACTGACCATAGACCGCTGATATACATATCAAAGGGTAAAAATTTGAATAGCACACTTTCAAAATTTTTGCTCCAAATTTCGGACCAATCTTACACCATTCAATACAGGAAAGGCAGCCAAAACACGGCAGATCTATTATCTCGCGCATATGAACACGATGATCCAGAGAATGTAGAAGAACTAACTCAAGACAAGGCAACCATGACCGAAGAAACTTTTCCCTTCGTAGCAACCATCACAATCGACAAGCCTAAAACAGCAATAATTCCACTCGAACAAGCACAAATTGATACCCACAAATTTCAAGAATTCCAACGCGCAGATGAATGGTATGCAGACATTATTGCAGCAATTGAAGACCCTAAGAATGCATCGAGAGACTCACTAATAAAAGCCAAAAACTACACTTTAAGCAACGGATTGCTTTACCGCAAATCGACCACTGATCCACAACAATTACTGCTAATGATACCTCGAAATATGCGAAAATTATGGCTCAAAACTGTCCACGACTCACCCTTCGCAGGGGCCCACTCAGGATTCCACAGGACTCTGAGTAAACTAAACAATTATGACTGGCCCCACAAATGGAGGGACTGCAAAAACTACTGCAAGTCATGTGACAACTGCCAGCGAGCCAAGCACTTAACTGTAACTCCTAAAGGACTCCTACAGCCAACCAACATCGTTCCGATACCATTTTATAAAGTATTTTTTGATATCTCAGGACCATACAACCCATCAAATCAAAAGAAATACGTCTTTTCACTAGTGGACTCCTACACAAAGTTTTGGTACGCTAGACCAGCCTCATCAGCGACAGGCTCTGAAATCGCGAAATTTTTCTTAGATTGTTTCGCAATTTTCGGATTTCCCGCGACACTAAAGTCGGATAACGGTCCTGGTCTCATAGAAAGTGGTCTCAAAGAATTACTGACCAATCTCAACATAGAACACCGTCTAAGCCCTTTTTACATGCCCAGAGTACAATCTCTAGTAGAAAGGAACTTTAGAACACAAGGTGAAATTTTAAGATCCTATGTGAGCGAAAACCCTAAAACATGGTCCAAATACATAGTGCCAATGACAGCAGCCTACAATATAACACCTCACTCAACAACAAAAGTTACACCCCACTTCTTATTGTTCGGCACACATCCCCGCCTAATGCCAGCCTTAGAACTCCGAAGCGCAACTACTCATGAAGTCAATATAGAAAGACTGGAAATATTGGACAAAGTCCGAAACGACGCCATGACTCGTATCTCAGAAGCACGGAAGAAAATGAAGGAAAAACTCAACATAAAACGCAAAGCCGTGCACTTCCATATTGGTGAAAAAGTTCTCATCCAGAAACCAGTCAAGAAGAAAAATGAATCATCAAAACTACTCCCAAAGTTCTTTGGACCCTTCTTCATAGTAGCGCGAAAAACCCCATCAATCTATGTGATCAGAGCCAATTATTTCGATCCCAGTTCAAAAACCGAGCAGGTACACGTAGAAAAACTAAAGAGATATTTTGACCCGCTTCTATATCGCAAAACACTCAGCGAGCAGAATGAACCTGAAGAAGTCCCGCACTCAGACCTCTACGACCCAGATACGCTGTTAGAATCTGAGGACGAGGAAACAGAACTTGAACCAGCCTGATAAGTGTCAAAAACGGCCTACACGCTGTGTTTCAAAATGTAAATAGTTAAGAATACTTATAAGGAATTAATATACGTACTAAACTTAAGACGTAGCACTACGAAACTTGGCAACTATGCCCCGAAAAATCACCAGCCTCTCCGCTAAGATTTACGACCCCAGCGGCACAAGCACCCAGCGCAGCAGCCTCGATCGTCCGTCCCTCACATCCCGACGCCCGAACCCCCCCCCTCCCCTCCTGCACCACGAACCTTCCTCCCGATGCATTGAGGGCTCCACTGACACATATTTACCGCGAAAGCAAACCACTCATCAAAATTTCCTTCCACCGCTCTAGGACCAGCAAAAATGACCTCACTCTTCCTCTGCACGCTCCTGGCAATCACGCAAGTGACTCTGGCATTAGAGCCAGCGTCACTCACGGGATTCGACTGCGTATCCCAACCCATTCGGCAAACAGAAATATCACTGAAAAACATCAAGGAATGCAATGGATCTATTGAAACAACTACCAACACCACAGCAATCATTCAAGTGGTTCAACAAAACGAAGAGATGCCAATCAGAGTAATTTCTTGCAAAATAGAAATACTCCGAATAGCACACCGTTGTTCAATGTGGGGTGACCTGCAATCCGTCCCAAACTCCCTACGCACATATTATCCGGACCTTACAATGAGTCAGTGCCACAGCTTGATTAAAGACAGAGCAGCCACGGACTACGGAAAAATGGTTGACTTAACCATAAATGGAGAAACCATCAGAACCACCCTACTAGCGGGTGAAATTAAACCCAAAGGAGGATGCACCGGAGGAAGCTACTCTGACGGCACTTATAACTACGATGACGTAGTAGTACAGGCAACAATAAAATTCACCCTCTATGACTCGGAGGCCATGTTCAACCCAACTTTAAACGAAATTTATCTCAAAACAGGAGTGAAATGTGTATATTCTGCAGGAAAATGTTTCGACCCAGACAGAGGATACACATTTTGGGAACCGGAAATACAGGACAAATGCGATGCAAAGCACTACACAGTCTTGTATGAAGGACCAGCAACCCGCTTCAATGACTCCACTGCCGCAGATCCTATTTCTTACCTGGTGAATGAAAATGATGTGGCTTTTAGTCTGACTGCCATAAAAAGAACTAGAATCTGTCATCACGAAGCATTTCAGACAGAACACTCCAGATTTTTCGTCCTTCCAAAAACAGAATATGAATTTCCTTTCTACAAAAATTCCAAAAATGTCACTGCAGACATATTGACCTATTTCAATGTGAAATTCGTGTTTCTCGATAGACACATCAAATCCTCTCTCTCTCACTTATACACCCAGCTGCGGTCAGCAGCTTGCCAACTAGAACGTCAAATTCTAGAGCATCACTTAACGCTTGCCATACACCACGGAGATGATTTTGCTTGGATTAGAGGAGGAGGCCCAGGTTACATGACTATCACCATGGGCGAAGTCGCCTATCTCCTCCAATGTCTAGCCGTTCCAGTCACCTTACGGCAAACAGATTCCTGTTACAATGAAATTCCAGTATACTACAAGAACGAGACAAAATTTCTGATCCCCAGAACACGAATCCTCACATCAAAAGGCACAGAAGTAGACTGTAGCCCAAACATGCCGGTCAAATTTGAAATCAACGGACGCTGGCGTAGTTTCACCCCCCGCATCATGCCAGCAGACCCACCTACTGAACTCACATCTCAACTTGCAATAGATTGGAAATACACTAGTCCAGACAGCCTCTTTCAAGCAGGCATCTACACGTTGGAAGATATCAAGGCCTTTCAAAGACGAATAACCTACCCTCTTGAGAGCGGGGCAGTGCAAAACGCCCTTACCAGAGAAGCAATGGGCCTCCCACAGTCAGATGGGAGACTCCACTTTGAAAATTTCCTAACAGAAAAATCGCTTGACACAATATTCCAAACCACCACAAGAAAAGTCTGGGGAGCCTTTCACGAGTTTGGATCAATAGCATCTGGCTTCATCGGAATTTTATTCATTTTCAAGCTCCTTAAAATACTCTTAGACACGCTCATCTTCGGACACCTGCTCTATTCTGTTTTTGGCTTCTCTTGGAAAATGCTAGCCATGTTTTGCGACACATTGGCGAACTACTTCATTCACGACCACCATGTGACTTCACGAACAAAAGATGAAATCCTCGAAGAGTCCCAGCATGCATCTACTCCCGCAGGAACGCTGGACCTCCCAGTGTACAAATCTCGCTAGAATCACAGCGCGTGGCGCACTTCACTCTCAAGAGCTCCAGAAATTATTGCATCTTCTTAAGAGGCCCTGAGCTCATCCCAGCCGAAAAGTACATCCTTCTCTCAGTCGAGATCACTATCACACGCACAATGGACGCGCTCCTGACTTCCTTTGAAGATGCCTGGACCTCGGCCCCCGAACAAAACAAACCGCCCGTCACCCACGCACATCGCAGGAAAATGGCAGGAACAGCCATCAGACCATGGACACCTCAGCTCCTTCCCATCAGTGAAAGTTTACCCCCAGTGCCTTCTCCTGACGTGCAGTTCACCAGTGATGACCCTAGAAACCCAAGGAACAAAAATGTCACCCCAGGCCCCAGTGCCTCCTCACTCCCCAGTGCTCATCTCCCATCAGCCGTACCTACCCCTAGTGCAAGTGCTCCCAAACCAACCACCGTGAAGCCCATCTCTCCGTGCAAAACCTCCAATACTCCTAGTACCCTCCTGCCAAAATCGCAACTTGTGAAACCCCTCTCCGCCCCTACACCCCCGGCAGCTCCGCGCGCGAAACCCAACACCCCCAGTGCGGTCAAGCCTACATCGCCCGCAGTGAAACATGTCTCTACCCCTACAATTCCACCACCCCAGTGCCCCAGAAAACCCAACACCCCCAGTGCGGTCAAGCCTACATCGCCCGCTGTGAAACTTGTCTCTACCCCTACAATTCCACCACCCCAGTGCCCCAGAAAACCCAACACCCCTGCTGAAGTCAAGCCTACATCGCCCGCCGTGAAACATAACTCTTCCTCTAAAATTCCACCAACTCAGTGCGCCAAATCGCCACACGCCAAATCCACCCCTAGCTCCAAACAGTCGAGCACCCCTCAATCAAAACCACGGACTTCACAAATACGAACAGCCAATAACGCACCCTTGGTCTCACGTCCCAAGAAGAATACCCCCAAGGCCACAACGGACGCTCCCAGCACCAAACCGCCGGCACCAGCCCCTGGAAAACCAGCAACTACATGGAAAATTCCGAAAAAACGAAAGTCACCATCCGAGTTATTCCTTGACCTAGGCTTGGACCTACCAGACCTGCTATCTCCACTTAACTCGCCCATCCCCGCACCTCCGCCATCTTCCAATGAACTTCCACCGGCCAAGACTCCGCCATTCTCCTCACCCCCGATTCCGGAACACGCCGCTACTCCCTCCACAGCGGAATCACCAGCAACACCAGGTACTTCCATGGCAGCGCCCCTAGAGCCAGAGCCCCTACCTATTTATGCCGCGCCCTTCCAGACCTCCTTCCCTACTCTCAGTCACTACCCACAATCAGCCCAATTTCTGTATGCCCTCTCCTCCCTGCTAGGCCCCTTACACTACTCTCCAGCCCAACCTGAATATTTTCCATCACTTCAACCCACACCGCTCCCTGAACCATGGGTTCAACCATACACCCCCACCCCGCTGACCGCTTCCATCCCAGTCCACACAGGATTCTCTGGACCCACACGGACCAGCAGAAGGGCTGGAAAACGCGTACAGCGCAAAAGGCAGCGTTACGCAACTTCCTCAACCCCTTAAGTGCGCCATTCTCCACATTTTTGTACATAATCTTTCATACCTATTATTGTGAGGCAGCTTCCTATTCAGCGCCCTTCTACCTTAAGATATACTGTAAATTTTTTTTTCTGAGGCAGCTACCATTAAGCGCCCAACTAATTTACGATACACCTTAATGTGGCAGCTATCACTTAGCGCCCTTCTAATTTTAGATAAAATGTAATTTTTTGCCCGAGGCAGCTACCACTAAGCGCCCGTCTAATTTAAGATAGACTGTAATTTTTTTTCTTTTCTTCCTGAGGCAGCTACCACTGAGCGCCCAACTAGTCTAAGATATACCATAATTTTCTCTTATGAGGCAGCCACCCTTTAGCGCCTCTTACTCATGCCGGCCGCTATTCAGCGCCCATGAAGGCCCCCCCCCCACCCCCATCATTAGCACCCACTTCAAATGTTCACGTGGCAGCTTCCGTAGTTAGCGCCCGTTTTTTCACCCTCCATCTTGCCTGGTTGTTCGGCCTTTTGAAATTGCTTCGCAATTTTGTTAGGTGCGTAAGGTGTGGCGGCGCGGCACTCGCACTCAGCAGTGCGCGTGGCGTGCTGACGCGCCCGCTCGACGCAATTCCGACTTCGGCCGCTAGTTGCAGTGCGATCGCTCGGTTCCCTATCTCAAAGCTGTGCAAACCAGCCTGGTGGGGAGTCGGCGATCGACTATAAATAGTGGCCGGAGCATAGGCCGGGCACCAGTATTTGATCAAGATTCGTAGAAGACCAACCAGTCCCAGTCGTCGGCTCGTCCCGTAAGCACGAGGGCTATGGCCCGAACCTCCGCGGCACAGACCCGCACTACAATCACGCCCCGGACGCGTACACCAAACTCGGCTCAGACCCGAACCCCAAACTCGGCTCAGACCCGAACCCCAAACTCGGCTCAGACCCGAACCCCAACCCTCCCCATCTCATAGCCTCTCTCAGACCTTAAGCCTGTTCATATATATGTACATGTGAAGCTAATAATTGAGAAAGTATAAATAAATATGTGTCATCTAGCCCTCATAGTTCCTCCTTCATCAACAACCAAAAACCACCCTCCTTACAAGAGCTTTTCAACCCCAGTTTAGTGTGAGTAAAAATTGGTTAGGGTTGAGCAAAACACCCACATTTACATTTCAGTATTTCAACTTTTGTTCATTTTTTGGAAGGAAACCAGCCAAATTCATTACTCAAAATTGTTGCAATTTTTCTTGCGCATATGGACGTTATTTCCGCCAAATTTTAATTGGCATTGTTGGTCGCCTTCCTCCTAAGAAATTTAAATAGAGATAAGATTTTGAATCACTGCAATGTACACGATATAATGCATTGCTTCGCAAATATTAGTACGTAATTTTATGAATGATATAGCATATAGTATAGTTGATAATATTAAATTAGTATACGGTAAAGCTCAAGGAAATGTATGACGAGTATTGTCTTGTAATTAGAAAGGTATACCTCTGTAAAATAATTCCAATGTATGCATGTCATTTAATGGGTATTGGAGGGATTGCCTGAATATGAATCAAATATATAAAGTAAGAAATTAATTCAATTCTGAATTTGAATCTCTCTATACCTCACCAAATATTTTCTTTTCATTATTGCCCCTAAAAAAATGATGTGCTCTAAGTTGGATCACACGATGATCATACCAAAAATAAGTTCCGGCTATCGGTTTCCTCCAAATTAAACAATAATTTTTTTTTATTAAATTTTATTTTTTTAATATTCTTTTTTAAAACTGGATCTGAAGCGTGTTTTTACCTCTCAAGTTTTGACGCACCTTGAATCCAAAAATCCTAAAGCAAGAAGTCGTCATTACGGCAATTTTTTCATTTTTCCAAAGAAATATTGGAATGAACCATAATATCATTCAGTTAGGTGGCGCTTCAAATTTTTAAAATTTTCAACCACGACACCACCGGCAGACAGGTACCATTTTGCAGTGTATGTAATCTCACATCACGTCTAGAGGGTGAACATGCGGTGCCGAAGTAGATTTTCGCGACAAAAATTTTTTCGCTGACCATCTCATTAATGATGTCAAATCGATATTTGCAATCCAAGCTGACAAATAGACGATAAAAATAAATTTATTCTCTTTGCCGTGATCGCTCCTCGCTTTTAAGGATAACATCAGGAAATATTTTGCAATCCGTGACTAAACCTCCGGATCTCATCCACCAATTTTCAAAACCCGTCCTTTTCAGAGGGATTATTATAAACTTGATTAATGTTTTTCTTCCTCTTCTTCTCTCAGAGTCAGGACACAAAGTGTTCTCAGACGCGGATCCGGCAGGTTGGCAATACTGCCTTTCCTCCATTTAAACTTGTGTTGATTAATCGATTCTTGCCGCAGCACCTGCCCCTCCGAGGATCGATTCATTTCTATAGGTTTATATGGAGTGGAAACAATGTTGCCAATAGAGCCAACCGGACTGTCGGGACGTGCATGCTTTTGCGTCAAAATGGGTTTCGTACAATTTTTTTTTTTTTTTTTTTTTTTTTTTTTTTTTTTTTT